GTGATTTACTTCCCTAAAGATTTACAGCCTCAAAAAAAACAAAAACCATTTACAGCCTCAGCAATTCTATGAGTTGGAATCAACTCAACACCATACAATAACTACTTTCTTTACAAATTTTCTGTAAACCTGAAACTGCTCTAAAATATAAAATACACAATAAAGTGTTAAAAGAGTTAATATTGACTTAGTTTAGTGGCTGCTGAGCTGGATAATGTACTTATGTGGGTTCATTACACTATTTTATCTATTTTAATAAATGCATAAACATTCCCATAATTAAGTTACAAACTCAAATAGTTTCCCTTCCTGATTAAGAAAGCAAACGTGGAAAAGTTAAATAAAAATCATAATCTCATACCCAGAGATATGTAGTACTAACATTATGGTTTATTTCTTTTTAGTCTTCTTTTCTACGTACTTTGTAATATATTTAAAGAATTTTCCTTTAAGATTTCTTTATACTTTGAACAGAAAACAACTGGTATTTAATCATCAAATATCACTCCATGAAAAAGCAAGGAAAAAAAGTTTAAAATATGTGTTTCATGAATGATAGAACATATAGCAGACTTATATTCCAAAAATTCAGCTTTTAATAGGAGTTGGTTTTCATTTTCGTTTACTGCCATCTAGTTGACTCTGTCCCATAGCAACCTTTTGGGTAGGGTAGAACTGCCCCTGTGTGTTTCCAAGACTGCAAATCTTTTTTTTTTTTTAATCGTTTTATTAGGGGCTCATACAACTCTTATCACAATCCATACATACATCAATTGTGTAAAGCGTATTTGTACATTCATTGCCCTCATCATTCTCAAAACATTTCCTCTGCACTTAAGCCCCAGCATTAGGTCCTCATTTTTTCCCTCCCTCATGAGCCCTTGATAATTTATAAATTATTTTGTCATATGTTGCCCTGTCTGACGTCTCCCTTCACCCACTTTTCTGTTGTCCGTCCCCCAGGGAGGAGGTCACATGCAGATCCTTGTAATCGGTTCCAGCTTTCCAACCCACTCTCCCTCTACCCTCCCAGTATCGCCACTCACACCACTGGTCTTGAAGGGATCATCCGCCCTGGATTCCCTGTGCTTCCATTTCCCATCTGTACCAATGTACATCCTCTGGTCTAGCCAGACTTGCAAGGTAGAATTCGGATCGTGATAGTGGGGGCGGGGAGGAAGTATTTAGGAACTAGAGGAAAGTTGTATTTTTCATCATTGCTACATCACACCCTGACTGGCTCGTCTCCTCCCCGAGAGCCCTCTGCAAGGGGATTTCCAGTGGCCTACAAATGGGCTTTGGGTCTCCACTCCGCACTCCCCCCATCATTCACCATGGTAAGATTTTTTTGTTCTGATGATGCCTTATACCTGATCCCTTCGACACCTTGTGATCGCATAGGCTGGTGTGCTTCTTTCATGTGGGCTTTGTTGCTTCTGAGCTTGATGGTCGCTAGTTTACCTTCAAACCTTTGAGACCCCAGACACTATGTCTTTTGATAGCTGGGCACCATCAGCTTTCTTCACCACATTTGCCCATTCACCCGCTTTGTCTTCAGCGGTCATAAGACTGAAAATCTTTATGCAAGCACAAAGTCTCATCTTTTTCCTGCCCACTGCTGCCTCACAACTGCTCTTGTTTAAAAAAAACTGGTAACAGGCAATGAAGCACTCTTTGGAACTCAGTTAACCTGTAATAGCTCTGAGTTGGGAGTCCTGGCGAATGGCTTGTGTTTTGGTTTTGGATGCTTTGCCATATAAATAAACCTCACATTGGAATGCTTTGTAAACTTTAATGTATATGTGTTCTAAATTATTAACACTGTGATGGCTTCAGGTATTTATTAAAAACATCCAAAATGCAACTTATAAGTTGACATGTACTCACCTCTGCCCAGGCCTTTAATACAGCTAATATCTCCATGGTAGAAGCACTTTCATTATATAAGTGACTCAGAGCTTCTTTTCCAGCCTGTATTTTTGTCAACGATGAAACAAGCAACTGATGAACTCTTCGGAGATCATTAAGGTCACTTACAACTCCACTTGTTATCCAAGCACTGCAAACCTGTTTTTTAAACAAAATCAAAAGTTATGTATTTTTAAGTGAGTTCAGCAGAGCTCATACACAGGCAGAAATCTTCAGGAATTGGGTCACTGGAAATATCTTGCTACTCAGAAGCCCAGTAGGAGATGCTTATAATGCAGTAAAAAGCCAGCATTCAAAAGGGAATGAAGTCCAAGGTTGAAGGAAAAAAGCCATGTGAAAAACTATACGAATTAAAAAGTTTCAGATGTTAATATAGAAAAATGAGGCTATGAAAAATACCACTTTCACAGCCCCCCCACCCTCCCAGAAGAATCCACTTCAGAGGACAGCACTGAAGCTACTGCTCAAGGAGAGGGGCGCATCTGATTAGAGAACACAGGAGCAAACGAAGAGGTAAAGAGAGAGTGTATAACACATGCTTGCCAACCAAGCCCCAAGGATGATATTCCTGCTCAGAGCAGCCAATGTACACAGAAGACCAGAGGGCCTGCCCAACCATGAGACATGATGTCCCTCACTGACCCATAGCACTACGAGGGACAACACTGGAAGCACAGTGTGGGAATTTTGCCCAATCTGACCCCACTAACCGGGGCAAAATGCGAAGGGTGTGAAACAGAGCAGCAAGGGGAGCAAAGCAATGAAGTCCCCAAGGAATACCAAAAAGTCTCTGGGACCAGGGCCTGGCACCCCATCAGACTTGACCTTAAAACACTCCTAAAGGTTAACAAACAAACCTGGAACTATTTACAGGCTTTTCTTTTCTTTTTGTAGTTGGCTTTTTGTTGTTGTTTGGTTTCTTGGTTTTGTTTTGCTCTGCCTTGTTTTTGTGCTTATTATTGTCTCGGCATGTCTGTCTAGACAAGATAAGTAGGATAAACAACGGGACCAACTGTGCTAGGGTGGGGGGGCATGGAAGAGGGGAGGCAGGGGAAGGAAGTGGGTGTTAACAAACCCAGGGATAAGGGAACAACAAGTGATCTAAAATCAATGGTGTGGAGGGCATAGGGCATCTGGTAGGGCTTGGTCAAGAGCAATGTAACTGAAAGGAATTGCTATAACTCAAATGAAGGCTGAGAATGATAGTGGGGCAAGAGGAAATTAAAAGGAAATAGAGGAAAGAACTAGAAGGCAGAGGGCATTTATAGAGGTCTAAATACAGGTATGTACATACTTAAATATATTTATATATGACGATCAGGAAATAGATCTATGTACATATATTTATATGTTAAGTATCAAGGTAGCAGACAGACATTGGGCTTCTACTCAAGTACTCTCTCAACGCAAGAACACTTTGTTCTAATAACCTGGCATTCCGTGATGCTCACCTTCCCTACATGATCAATGAAGACAAATTGGGTACATAGCAAATGTGGTGAAGAAAGCTGATGGTGCCTGGTTATCAAAAGATATATGTCTGGGGTCTGAAAGGCTTGAAGATAAACAAGGGGCCATCTAGTTGAGAAGCAACAAAGTCCACAAGGAAGAAGCACACCAGCCTCTGCATGAGATGTTGATCGGATCAGGTATCAGGCATTAAATACCCAGGGCAAAAAATCATAATGTGAATGAAAGGGAGTGCGGAGTGGAGACTCAAAGCCCATCTCTGTAGGCAACTGGACACCCCTTTACAAAAGAGTCACAAGGAAGAGACAAACCAGTCAAGGTACAGTATAGCACTGATGAAACATACAACTTTCCTTTAGTTCTTTAATGCTTCCCGCCACCCCTTGTCATAATCCCAATTCTATCTTACAGATCTGGCTAGACCAGAACATGTACACAGGTACAGATAAGAGCTGGAAACACGGAATCCAGGACAGACAACTCCCTCAGGACCAATAATGAGAGTAGTGATACCAGGAGGGGAAGGGGGG